CAAGAAACCTCCATTTAGAAGAATTTTTACTATCTTCCAGTGTAGCAACAAGATTAAGACATAAGGCCACTCATTCGCTCAAACTAATAATTTTTTTCAAAGTAACAACTCATAGCCCACTGTGATAAGTCTCCAAAACTTATCAACCTTTTTGTAGATAGAGCAGATTTCTAATAAGATTAATTCAAATTCAAGTACAAAGAGTATGAAAACATGATTATGGAATATTAGAGCAGGAATAATCACCCAACGCAAAAGATAAAATAAGCAGCGAAACTTAAATAAGAAAATAACAGTAAATGACAGTGATAGGAACCCTAACAGACCTTGACAGCGACGATAGCACCATATAAGTCGAAGACGCGGCGGAGGCTGTCTTCGGTGGCGCTGTAAGGGAGGCCTCCGACGTACACCGAATTCTCATCGTCTATCGTCATTTTCTCCACCACAAAGCTCTGCTCTTGCGATTAGGGTCCGCCAAGTCCAGTTCGACTTCCACGAAACAAAAATCGCAAAAAACCAAAAAAAAAAAAAGTTATATAACTAAAATAAATTAGTTCAAAATATATCAGAACAGAAGAGAGACACGGTCAGTGTCCTTTCGTTGAGGGTTAACAGACCAGCTTCCTTTTTTCTTTTGTGCTTATGGGGTAGGCCGTGAAGAAGAAGAAGAAGTTGGGAGGGGCTTCAGGACATGGGGATCCAGTCACAGGCCCAAATCTTCTCCAATGTGTTTCTAATAAATTAAAATTACTCAGAAAACCCAAAACCCAAAACTCCTTCTACTAAATCCTATTGAAATTTTGATAATTAAATATTAAATATAATAATTTTGATACATACTAATTCTGTATTTTTTTACATTATTTCATATTTAATATAATAATTATTTATTTAAAAATAAAATATGAATATAATAACATTACTACGTAATTATTTTTTATGCATTACATAAATTCTCAATTATTTATTTTTTACACCAATTTATCTTATCAATATTTCATCAAAAATTAATGTACGAGAACATTTTTGCATTTATATATAAATATATTAGTTTTTTAACTTTAATATATTTTTTACAGATAAAAGAATGTTTAATACATTAATTTATATAATTATAAAATGTATTTTTTATTCATGGCACCAAGTGTATATCTAGTTTTATTTATATATTATTTATAACAGACTATTAATTTATGTGTTCATTTAATGCATTAGTTTTAAATATAAATTTAATATGTACAGATAATATTTTTTAATTTTTTATTTTATTATGAAAAAAATACAAAAATATGTCAATATAAATAAACGGTTATAATTTTCAAATCACATGAGTGTCATTTTATTTTTTTAAAATTTCATTACTAAAGAAAAATAATTTTTGAGATCTATGTGTCGATTAAAAAATATTTAGCGCAAGACGTAATCAGATCTTCTGCGATAAATGCAGGTACGTTGTCGTTTATCTTTTCTGTACAAGATTACATGTTTAAATTTATCAAATCTCGAATGATTTGAAAAAGTTTTGTAATATTTTAAATACTGATTAATTTAAATAAAATAATTAAGAAAAAAATAAATTATATTATTGAATTGATATAAATATTTATAATGTAAAATATATACAGAAGCAAACAAAATTTAAATTAAAAATTTTAAAAAAGGAAAACGTAAGCAAACAAAATTTAAATTAAAAATTTTAAAAAAGGAAAACGTAAGTAATCTGGTTTTGGGATGTTGCTGTCTCTTCCATCAGGTAATGATTACCAGTTAAGATCTCTTCACCATTTTCTTATCTCATCGTAATTGACAGCAAAAGGAATGTCTGCAAATTATAGGGTTTGTTTGGTTTTTTTTTTTTTTTTTCTTTTCAGAAAAACAAAAAAGGAAAGTAAATTTCAAAAGGTGTTAATGATGTTTTGAATTGTTGGTTTCCTGTTCCCATCACGTTCAAATGTGCTTCTTTCTAATTATGACAAATATAATGTATCTAACATATACATACATACACACACACACACACATAATTTGCTCCAATCATTAATATGAATAATGGTGTTTTCTGCAAAAAGGGTAATTCGTTAATTATGATTTTATAATATAATATATGAAAACCCATTAATATAATCATGAATTATACAAGTTAATCAGAAGATTAGAATGAATTAAACTAAGGAATTGAATAGAAATTAATTAGAAATAATTAAATTAATTTGGTGGGTTTCCTTTTCTTCAGAGTATTCAAGAGAGAGAAAAAAATCTTCATTGGGGGAGGTGAGTTTAATATGTCAGGATGCAGAGAATCTTTGTTTTGAGTCATTCATCTCTCTGCCATGTAAAAGATTATGAAGAAGAAAAGAGTTAGACGACAATGAAAATTTTTCCTGATCAGATTTCAACAATATCATCACCAGCTCTTGCAGTCAAATTTCAAAAGTAAGTTTTGCTTAAGTTCCAATCGTTAGATGTACTGCATCAGTGCTGTATATATACATAAACTACAAATATATATATATATATGTAACCCAGCTCTGCATAAAGTGAAATGAGTTTTCCAACTTTAGCGGCTATTGTCTATGGAAATAGGAACCTAAGTATCAAATTCCATTGTCGCCTTATACCAAAATGCTTTCCTATATGAGTAGATCCCAATCTAATATCTTGTCCCATATATATATATATATATATATATATATATATATATAGACTCTTATGATTTATGTTCTAACCATTCTATACCGATCAATTATAAATTTTTGTTTGTAACAGTTCATAATTTTAAAGAAAATAAAATCATAAATTAAATTCAAAAATAAAATAATAGAATTAAGGTTTACATTTCTTACACAATAATTTAAAATACGTAATAAGATTACAGGAATAACTCTTATAAAAGAACAAACGAAAAATCAAAAAATAAATGAAAAGTAAACAATTAGATATCCTATGACAACATTTACTAGTCTTTGAAGGGAGTCTGGGTGGTGAACTATTCACAACCCACTTGTTGATCGAGATTTAGATCTTAGTTATCTTGATCTGAAATATTTATAAAAGAGTAAATTACACTATCTCAGTAAGAATATCACACTATTTACCGTAACGAAAATTTCAAAAACCGATCTATAAAGGTAGCAACACAAACAACATCATAATTTCATATTCAATTAGCCAAAACAACAATTTTTTATTTTTATCTGCCTACTGGTATCCCTGGGGATCCATAGAGATGTCACCATTACGCGTGAACCATTATTTAACATTATCAACTAACCGGCCGTCCACATACATCATACAGTATGAGCGCAAAAAATATCATATCTCAATACCTCGTTCGGTATGAGGATAAAATGGGCCGCTCCCATATCCTATCCAATATGAGTGCCAAAATACCAATTCTCGATACCCCGTCCAGTATGAGGCAACGTTCACAGTAGGATTTCATATGTACCCGATCCATCCCCCATCTCCCAGGATATCCCGTAAGGCTATCATTCATTCACTTAATCAAGTAATTCCTGTTTATATTTAATTTTCAGTTTCACAATTTAATTGTAAATTACGCAAGACAAGCAATACATGCATCAAGGAAACACAACTGAATTATCTTACTAACTCTAGTGTATTATTATGCATTTAAAACTGTAAGATCAATCAATCAGTTAAAACATGACAAATAGTAATAAATAATCGGTTCCTCGCTCCATTAGTAACCTATAATTAATTATCGAAGTTTCTAAATTACGCAAAATATTGTATTATTTATAATTAGACTTCAATTCCATAACAGGGAATAAAGTGAGATATTCTTATCGAATCGATGTTTGAAACACTAAATTTCCTACTGCGCTTACTGGTGGTCCCCGAGTTTTTTGAATTTTTCTGCGGAAATTAAAACACGTTTCACGTACCTCGAAATACCTTAAAAAATCAAAAATCGGTATCAAAAATATTTTCTGGCCAATTTCAAAATTTTTTCACAACGGCACAACTGTGCTCCGACAACGGCACTACCGCCCGCGGTGGCAATTTGCCTTAGATTAGCCGTTTTCGGCCGATTTTATACTTATTCATACGAGAAAACACGTTAGGAGGACTCGGTTGGCCAA